TGCTCAACAATGCAATGTAATGTTTCGTGCCTGAGCTGTCCGTCCAATGCTAATCGCCAAGCAAGTCTTCAGCAATTGCACCCGCGTCCTCGGCACTGTATGCAGACATCAACAGACGAGCAACGAAGGCGTCCATGGAGGCCGGGGTCGGTGGGAAGGCGAATAAAGCGAGCAATGCTTGCAAATGTAGCTTGCAAGTCAAAGAACAAGGCCCCAAACGATAGATTCTCTGCTCGGGCATAATCTATGCACGCAACCACGTTGAGATGTGCAAACTCCGAGGAACCACCGTTCGGACCTCCACCGAATTGCAACTCCGAGGTGGCCTTCGCAAGGGCAGGTACTCCGCGGGCCATCAGATGGGAAGAAAGCGACTTAGACGAAACTTCGCAAATCGTGACGCCCCTATAAAAGGGGTCTCCGTCATTAGGCTCTTGCCCTTATATAACTCGAACGCGTGCCCGCCTTTCCACTGCAAGGGCGGTTGCGCGGCAATGACAAACTTGAACACGAGCGGGTGGAACAGCATTGCACACTCTAGCGGCGCCGTTGTGAACAACTCAGACCCATTGCAATCTTCAGGAATTCCTGTGAAAGGACGCAGGCAAGTGTGCAAACATGGACGCAGGTGTTGAACCATGCCCTCCTCCTCTCCCTCATCCTGCTCCTCATCATCCTCTCTGATCAACACAATATTTCAGCTACGCACGTGGTTTCCAGGATTTGGGCTTTTGAGGGCCCAAGAGGGATCCAAGAAGGCCCCAGATGTCTCAAGATGAACTCCACGATGGCGCAAGATGGTCCAAGCTGGCCAACGAGTGCCTCCAAGATACTTCCAAGCTGCCCAAAGATGGCCCCGAGACGGGCCGAAGTGGCCACAGGGGCCTCCCAAGGACGCCGCCACCAAGGCCAAATCCTTGCAAAATCTTTGGAACATCAATTTGGTGTTTGCATTCGCACGTTTCCGCTTTTGATCGCCTTGCGAGACCTCCAGATGGGGCAAGCAGGGCCCACGAGAGCACCAAAAGGGGCCCGGGAATGTGCCAAGACGGCCCCAAGAGCGCCCAAGAACGCTTCAAGAGGGGCCCACGAGGCGATTGCACGGGCTCTAGAAGGCCCTCAGGTCCTCTCACTACCCCTCGAAGCATCAAGCCTCACGAATGTTTCGGGGCGTGGCGCGTGACCTCTGAGCTCCCCCGAGTGTTGTTGCGAAAATGTTTCGGGCCCAAGAGGGCCCCTAGACGGACCAAGAGGGCCCCAAGAGGCCCCCGAGACGGTCCAAGAGGGCCCCGAGTCGCCGAACGATCGCTCCAAGACGCTCAAGATGGCCCCCAGGCGGCCCAAGAAGCCTCCAATACGCCCAAAGGCGTCTCCAGGAGGCCCCCCAAGAGGGCTTCCAGAGGCCAACATCATTGATTTGCCATAGGTGTTTGTAGGATTCGGGCGTTCTCGCCTTGTCGGCTTTCCGAGGCTCCCAGACGGCGCCAGAGACTCCCAAGACCGCCCCAAGACGGCCCAAGAGGCCTCCGAGAGAGCTCCCAAACAGCCCAGGGGGGCCCCAGCACAGGCGCCAAAAACGGCCCCAGAGGGCCCCAAGAAGGCCCCGGAAAGGTTCCAAAAGAGGGAACATGAACCGAACATCCGAGCCTTCCACCCCAAGAAGCCCCTAGGAGGCCCCACTTGGCGCCCAGGAGGCCCCAAGAGGCCCCCACGAGACCCAAAAGATGCCCCAAGATGTCTCCAAACGCACCCCAAGAGTCGTCCAAACTTCCTCCAAGAGGCCCCCGAGAAGCCTCCCACATCAAATAGCCTTCATACCCGCAACCCAGGCACAGTGGCGGGATGGTCCGAAGGCAAATCGATGTTAAGGACCTCCCTTCTTTGATCGAACTTCTCCCATATGGCCCCAAGAGGGGCCCCAGGGCCCGCAAGCCCCACGAGGCGGCCAGAAGGCCCCCAAGAGGCCACCAAGAGGTCCCCAAGAGGCTCCCAAGAGACCCATCAAAACCCCCAGCGGCTCCCCCGAAGCACCCAAGACGCCCCAAGAGGCCCGGGGTTCGCCAAAAGGCCCCCAAGACGTCCCGAGAGGACTCCAAGAAGATCCCAAGAAACATTCGGAAAGACTCCGAGAGGCATCTAAGAGGCCTCTGGCCTCTCTGCTCGCACTCCTCCTCCTCCTCATCCTCCTCCAATTCCTTATCCGCAGATTCCTCCTCCTCCTCCTCCACCTCCTCCTCCCTCCTCCCTCCTCCTACAACATTACAGGATATGAATACTATCATCCTCTCTCCCCCGGTGGAGTCCGAGGAATCTCTGGCCTCCTTCTGCGTACTAGTTTTTGTTCACACCGGAGTCCCGGGAATTGGGTTTTCGCTTGTTTTTTCTCAAAATGCTGCTCTCGCTGAAGCGCTGGCTTCATTTCCGGGCTACCGCTCGTTCCGAATCGTGTGCCCGCTGCAGCGCTGGCCTCATTTCCGTGCTTTCGCTCGTTCCGAATCGTGCTCCCGCTGCAGTGCTGGCGTCATCATTTCCAGCGCCATGCCACGGTATGCGTTTCGGTCCTTCCAAATAGGCCCCAAAATCTAGAAAATGCCATTCCGAAGAAACCATCGGAAGTGATTACAAATTCGGTGTCGCCCCATTTTGAGGCGTCGCCACGCCATGCTGGGTCAGGCTACGCGTACTCATTTCCGCGCTTCCGCGCTGATTTTTTTCAAAATGAGGAGTTCGCTGAAGCGCTGGCCTCATTTCCGGGCTACCGCTCGTTCCGAATCGTGCTCCTGCTGCAGCGCTGGCCTCATGTCCGTGCTTCCGCTCGTTCCGAATCGTGCTCCCGTTGCAGCGCTGGCGTTATTTCCAGCGCCACGCCACGGTATAGTTTTCGGTACTTCCACATAGGTATCAAAATCAAAACAAAATGCCTCTCGAAGAAACGAACGGAAGTGATTACACATTCGGTGTCGATTCGTTGACTGTTTGGGCCGCATAAGTCCCCCCCCCCTTGGTGCGTCGCCACGCCATACTATGCCATGCTACGCGTTAATATTCAACACCATGCTGTGTCATGTAATGCTATGCCATGCTACGACATCCGATTGTTCGAATAAAGAAGAGGTCTACGCCATGGTAAAGGATGGGAGGGAGGGGCAGCACGTCAGATATGACGCGAGCGCACCTAGCTTGTCCCTCCTCCCCCTCCCCCTCCTCCACCGCGCTCCGATTCCTCTTCAATCCTCTCCCTCTTAGGGGAATGTCGGCTCCCCCAGCCCTTTATTCCACTGCATGCCCCTCGACATCCCTGATCAGGGATGATCAGGACAACTCGCCTGAGCATCTTTTCTGGCTGGGCTGGTGTGATTACACGAAGCGTCTTGAACTTGCAACACTATCTCAAAACCCCCAGTAGGCATCAACAGGGCCCTAAGAAGCCCCACGTGGCCCAAAACGATCTCAGTCTCCGGACTCTCAAGAATCCCACAAGAAGCTCCACCTGATGAATATCGTTGTCCTGTTGCTGCTGCTCATCCTGATCATCCTTGTCATCCGAGCTCTTCTTTTCCTGTATCTACGCTCGTTCACCCTGAACATCTTCCTCCTCCTCCTTCTCCTCCGCTCCCCAGTTACCTTCCCCACGCTGACTGTACTCATCCATTGTCTCTCCTGCTCCCCCATCGACCCCCTACTAGCACTTATCCTTCTTCTTCTTCTTATTCTTGTTACGAATCTGATTCGTATTCCTTCTATCGCCTCTTCTTCCCCAGCGCCTCTGCACACACCGTCTCCTCTCTTTTACAACAGACACCACCTCCCAACCACCTGCATCCCCAGGAATCCAGACAATGCGCACAAATCATCAACCTAATGCTACCGCGGGTAGAGCGCTCGCTCAACGCAGTAGGGTCAAGAGTGCCGCGAGGAAGTAAACGGATAATCCATTGTATGTGGTTCAGGCTGGACACTATCACGCAACAGTGCAGTCACCATGAAATAGGCCACGACATCACGCAACACTTAGTGTGAACGTTAATGTGGCAGCAGCTCGGGGGGGAGTCCCCCGAAGGCAACCTTACGGAGTCTGGAGGCATGCTTTTTTTTTTCGCACGACACATACAATCCAACTCAGGGAGCCGCGAAGTGTACAAGGCTGAAACTTGCCCATGTGATCCATCCGCGTTACGTCCCACATGCGATGCACAAAGGGCCGACGCTTGCCCAGGGTGGCCTCGCGATCGTGCTGGATCGCACAACGATTCGCCCCAATATGGCCGATGGCGGGCCCATGATCGAGCCAATCCAAGAAACTCCAGGATGGTGCGGGTACGTTTCCAAACGTGGCCCTGGAGCTCACCCGATAGCATCAAACGGTGTGTTCATCATGCGTGTCCTCTCGCCTCCTCGGTCTCACATGGCTTTATGATGGTCGGTCCAAGGTGGTCCAAGATAGCTTCCCAGAAACAATGACAAGATCGCAAGACGGCACCCAAAAGTATGCACGATTGCCCAACAAGCGTTAAAATACGTAATGGCCCCGCGAGGGCATCAGGGGTCCCGTGAAGATTCCACAGGGCAAAGACTGTCCGCGCCCAGTTACAGTCGGGCCGCTGAGAGAAGGAACGCTAAATCAGGAACGAGGCCCCTTCGTGGCCCTGTAAGCGCCTCCGTGCCCCAGGAGGGCAAAAGGAACAGCACTGGAGGAACCTAAGGAACATCGAGCCCCTTCCGGATCCAAACTGTTCCTTATTTCAGCGTCTTGAACGTAGAGCCAGGGCGGTCTCTTGGCGCCTCTGAGGCCGTCTTGAGCGCGCTTCGGGCGGTTGGCCTTCTGGAGGTTCCTTGGGGGGTTGTTGGCGCCGTCTGGGACTCTGCGTGAAGTCCATCGGCATGTCTGTGACATGCCTGGAGCCCTTCTGTGATCAGATTCGAAATGCCTGGCTTTGTTCTTGGATTGTTTCCAGGCTGCTGCGAGGATGAAAAGGCGGGCGGTGAACACGAAGCGTTTCGAATAACCTGGCGACTGTGTCGACTACCGCTTCCAAGAATTTGACTGTCTCCTGCGTGCCGCGGCTGTGGCAACAGAAGGCTGATTGCTTGCAAGGTCGCCAACCAGGGACATATACAACGTGGCTCTTGCACGAGCAAGAGGGGTGGACGTAGAACATGCTTCAAAATACAATATGGGAGGCACAGAGCACATGCTATTGCTAGACACGGCAAGGATGCAACGTTGGTACGAAGAGTGTGACAGCCATTTGGGAACTCACCACGAGGAGGGGGAAACACTGAGGGGGAACGCAAAATTAGCTGACAAGCGAAATTTAGAAGAGCATGGAGGCTGAAACGAAAGGCTGCGGGCAAGGAAGAGAGTCACGGCTCGCACGCTGTCCTGCGTCGGGCTCAGCGTCCACCTGAGCATGAGTTTCAGCTCGCTGTTGCTGCCGCCAGTATGCCGCGGCCGTCAAAAATGCTGCTGCTGCTGCAGCCTCCATGCTGCTGCCAATGTTCCAGCTGCCGCTCTGGGTCCGCTGCCGATGCTGTCCACTGCCACAGCCGTTGACTCCACCGCGCCGTCGCTGGTGGTGGTGCTGCTGCTTGGATAAGGAGGTCTGCCCCCTCAGGCGCATGGGTGCTGCAACCTAGACTTCAGAGCACCCGACGCCCCGGCAGCTGCGGACTGCAGTAGCGGGTTAGGCCACTCATGGAGGGCGAGTTGGCCAGGCACCTCCCTCGTTCCTCCCCATCCTCATCCATCCTGACCTTCCTCCACTCCATATCCTTCCTATCTTTTTCCCATTCCCTTCTCCTCATCCATCCTGCTCCTCTAGCCCTCCGTCTGTTGCTCTCATCCTTTCCCCTCCTTCTCTCAACTCCATATTTCTCAATTGTACCTTACAGGTGCCCACTTTTGTCGAGCGGGGCTGCGCTATTGTTCAGCAGAGCCGTTGCATGATGCAGAGAAGCGGACGGGCGCTGCAAGTCCAATGCTGACGTGTACGCAATGGAATATGTTCCTGCTTCCCTGCCCCTCCAAGGCGTCGATTCCTATCAAGCAAGACCGGCATGCTGATCGCCAAAGCAATTTCAAAGAGACAAGATAGCGCTTCAGGGCCAATCCTGCCTTTCACTCACAAAGGCTCTCCTCCTCCGCCTCCTCCTCCGCGCAGTCTTCCTCCAGTCCTCTTCCTGATCGTACAGTAGGTGGGCCGCAAGCTCCGCGCTGGTGAACGCACACCCGATAGGACAGCACGGCGGGAAAGGGCTGTCAAACCAACCCTGGTCTGGAAGCGAAACAGCCGCTCTCAGGGGTCTGGCCCGACCCTGCCGGCGGCAGGGGAGAGGCGGGAACAGAGAGGGGGGAGCGGCGGAGGCTGGTGGGCGATCGTGCTGCGCCGGAGGCGATCTGCGGCAGCGCAGGGCGGAGCCTCAGCGCCGAGCGCCCCGGGTGAGGCGTCGTGCTGGGCCCGACGCTGGACCCCGGCGTCGTGCGGCAAGCTGGGCCATGCGACTGGCGGCTCCAGCTGGCGCCGTCGGACTGGCGCCGCTGGCCAGGCAGCCTGGCGGGCCGCCATCTTGCTCTTCCACGGCAGCCCGCTGGGGGCCCCACTCTCCGGAAATACTTTCATCCAAGCGGGCGTGCCGCAGCCACGCTGAAGAGAGACGCGCGCTGAAGAGTGACACCGAGCATCGATCTGGTCACGGACGCCTTCGCGAAGACGCATCAAGCAGCTTCAAGTGGATGCATTTGGTCCTAAGGCCACTCCAATCCGAAAGCCACGTCTGAAAGCCAAACAACGAAAAGCTGCACATGTCAACCAACCCCGTCTGTGAAAACGCATGGCCGAGTCTATCAGCGACACAAACAGTATCCCGCTGCAAGAGATCGTGAAATCAATATGCTGCATGTGCCTGTCAGAAGGTGCAGGACACCAACGTGTTGGTGTCTGTTCAAAGCGGCGCTCACCACCCAGAAAGCTAGGCCGACCAATACTTTAATCCACAAAGCAAGCGACCACCTCGACCACACACACACACACCGACAACGAAGCTGCGCTACAGCGTGAGACAGAGGCTAGCACGTCAGCTGCCAAGCTGCAAAATCGACATTCCCATGCGTAACAGATCAAAGCAAGCCGTGAGGAAGCGGAGCCGAGAAATGAGACGGGCCCCGCGAAGCAAGGCCTGAGGCAGGGGGAGGAGGAGGAGGAGGAGGAGGAGGAGGAGGAGGAGGAGGAGGAGGAGGAGGAGGAGGCGCCCGCGTCACCAACTGTCAAAATGACTGAAAATCTGACGACTAGCGTAAACATAAAATCAACTGCGGGCGGGTCGCCGCGAGCGGGTCACGGGCGGGTCGAGGCGGGCCCCTGCGGCATGTCGACGCTCGTGGAACCGGTGGCGCCGCTTTCGCGGGAATGCCAACTACCTCGGCGACTCGGTCACTGCCAACACCAATGCTGATTTATCGGCGTGCCGCCACGGAACATCGAGGAAACTTCAAAGCTTAGCCAGTCATGCCGTTCACATAACCAGCTGGTCAACACATTGGGGCAGCGCTGTCGCGCTTGCGCCAGCGTGAACGTACTGGCACTGTGCACATCCAACCGGCGCGAAGGACAGCCGCGCTTTAGATCCAATGCAGCGACTGCCTGCTCACAAACCCACTTCCACGAAGGCGAAGATGAGACGCAAGATGAGGAGGCAACAGCACGAAAACGTGGGTAGGCACTGTTTCGAACATTTCGCACGACACTGTCCATGCGAGTCCTTCTGCCCAAGGCCTCTTCCTACTCTCGGCTACGCGCAAGAGTGACCCTGGGTAAGAGTGACCTCTGGTGCGCGGCTTACCCGGGGACGCGGAGTGGCCAAACCTGGGCGCGCAAGCCGCTGCTTCCACTTCTCGTTCAGCGATCGGGGGACCCGTTTGGGCCCGCACCAAAGGTCACTCTGGCGAAAGATCACTCTTACAGGTAGTCGCTACTTACACTTCTCCTCAGTCCACCCAGCCACAGGGCGGCGATAAGACGGGGCGGCCTTAAGGGGTCGGCAGGAAAACCCCAGAATTTGTTCCTGGGCAAAACCAGGAATGACCAAAACAGGCGAAGCCCGGAATCCATTCCAGCAAACCCCGAAACGCCAAACCCAGAATCGATCTCAAGCCCGGAATCACTGGAGCCCGGAGCCGAAATTCCACGCCCAGAGCCGGAATTACACGAGAGCCGCAAGGTCTCGACGAGATTTGCGTGACACCCCACTCCGCCGGACCTCCCACGAGCCCACGTGAGCGCTCACAAGTGCGCAGTTCACAACCCCCTGGGGGGCCGCGAGATCTGTGCGGGGTGCGCATAACACCACAGCCCGCGAAAATGGCGACACTTGCGCAATTCGCAGCACTCGAAGGAGCCGCGAGATCTTGACGGGTTGCGCGTGACAGCCCACTCCGCTGGACCTTCCAGGAGCCTACGAAAATGACGATGGCGGTGCCATTCCCTTGCACCGGTTTTTCAATCATTATTCAGTGGGCGCCCTGACTTTGTAAACTTCCGGGCGGACCGGCAGTCCTAACGCACTACGAGTTCTCAATTCTAGGGCAGGTCATGACCCCCCCTTTTCATGATGGACTGGGGGGGGGGAGGGGTTCGAACCGGTAGTGACCCTCCCCCGGTTTTCGAGAGGGGGGTGGGGGGGACGGGTTGGGAACCCCCAGTGACACCCCATGGTTTTCCGCCAGTAGCGGTAGAACACGCTCTTTCATGTATGGGAAATTACGTGTGGCAAACAATGTTGCGCCATCAATGTGGTGCTTGCTATGTCGTGCGGGCTATGTGGCACAGGCTACGTCAGTGGTGAAAGCTGTGTGGTGCAAACTATGTGATGGAATCTGTGTAGCGCGTGCTCGGTGCCGCAAGCTGTGTGGCGCAAGCTGTGTGACGCAAGGTGTGCGATGCGGCGCAAGCTGATCGTGTGGTGCGCTAGGCGCGCGGGGCGCCCACCAAACGGGCACCAGGCCAAAGACCCGCACAACCGCACAACGCACGGAGCGGCCTCGAGGCGGCCCTGCGCGGCCACCAGCCGGGCACCAGGCGACACTCTGGCACACCCGCCGAGCGCACGAGGCGCCCGCGAGGCGCTCACGGGCGGCCACCAACGGACCACAAGGCGAACCCCCAGAAAACCCATTTAAATCAAGCTGTACAGGGGATCCTGAGTGCCAGAGCTTGGGGGCAGACGGCCACGGCCGAAAGGCCTCGGTGATTAAAAGTCCAGGGCGCCACAACTTGAATACCCGACCGCAGAAGCAGAAACGAGAGGGTAACCAACTTAAGCGCGAACAAAAGCGTGGGGTCCACACCCGAAGTACAATTCAGAGCACTCGTCCACATCATGCTGAAACCAGCCCTCCCCGAGAAGGGGCCACAGGTACCTGACCTTCATGGGCCCTCAAGGGCCGATCCAACACAAAAAGAAAGTGCGGAACCCCGCAAAGGCCCAAACAGCCCCTCCTGGTCGTAGGCCCTGCAATCGGGGTTTTCCGAAACCGCACCGCAGGAAAAGGGAGGGAGGGCGGGGAGAGAGGAATACGTCAGTATGAAATATCTAAAAATTATCCCCCCCCCCCCCCCAGCTTTGGCACATATTCCCAGACAAATTACAAACTCCAAACCCACAACTTCACAGACATATAAGTTCAACAGCTGAGAGAGAGAGAGAGGTTAGGCGGCACCACGGCGTCGCAGCAGGGCCCCACCCCCTGTCTTCGGACGCCCGACCTCAGGCCGCGCCTGAGACGACGCGCGGCCTAAACCAAGGCTGTCGTCTGAAAGCTGTGAGAGAGCTGCAATCAGGCGAACGGTGAGCGGCCCATCTGCCGCCCTGGACTTCCCCATCGCCTTAGCCATGGCGATGCCTGGGGCCTGCCAGAACCGTTCGCCCTTCACGATCTGATCTGCCTGGAGGAGGGAGCGCCGCTGAATCAAGACGTGAGTCTTCGTGTAGCGCTGGAACGCACTGGAGGTCGTCCAGCGCCCCCTCCTCCTCGCTATCTCCAGGTCGCCTCCATCTACCACGTGCTGCGCTGCACCGGCGCGTCGAATGCCATGCGGTGGGCCAAGGGCCTCAAGGCCCAACCTCTTCAGAAACGCCTGTCACGTTCTGCGGTACTTGTCGGGCGTGACGGGAATCACCAGCTCGTCGTCTTTGAGGCCCTCCGAGGAGGATGAACAACACGCACTTCGTCAACTCCATCAGCACCTCGACGCCTTGGCCCAAGCCCGTCTTCACCTTCTCGCCTCTCGATCTATCTCCCAATAATAGCGCTATTCGGCCTCGTCGCCGTGTACCCGTCCACGCAACGTCCACCGATATGCCGCTTTTTCGCAGTTGGGCCTAATCCTGCTCGCGAAGCCAGCCGTCC